TGACGCACACTTGGCTCTTTCCACCTTTTACCTATTCTGAATACTGCACATGAAGGTATACAAATATCTCTTGAAGACCCTGCTTTTCATTCTTTTGGGTATGTACCAGAAGTAGAATTGTTGGATTATATGGTAATTCTATGCTTTCTTTTTTGAAGAACCGCCATATCGTCTTCCGTAATGACTATGCCATTTTTCATTCCCACCAACAGTACATGGGGTTCCGATTTCTCCATACGCTTGCCAACGCTTGTCATCTTCTGTGGTTTTTTGTTTTTGTTTCTGTTTTTGCTTTGACAGTAGCCATCCTAATGGGTGTGAGGTAGTATCTCATTAGGGCTTCGATTTGTATTTCTCAAATGCTTAGTGTCTTTTTATTTTATACTAAATCTTTGAAATCCAATGTGTGGTTTACATTTCCAGCCTAGCTCAGTTTGGACTGGACACATTTCCAGTCCTTAAGAGCTGGCTACTATATTGGAAGACGTGATTCTGGAGGGGACAGTTGGAGGCAGTGGATAGAAGCAGAGGGGATTCAGGCAGGCCTGTAGTATAAGGAAAAACACTACAGTCACTTGAGCTACCCGAGGAAGGGCTAGACATTTGGGGTGTCCCTGATCCTTGGCAGGAATGACGTAAGGAGGGGATTGCTGCGGTGGCCTTTGGAGGAGTCTGTGGTTTGTGGTTGTTCCTCTAGAGTGGCTGTGAGTGGGGCGCAGTTGGTGCCTCAGATTCCCTGTGCCACTGGCTTCTGCAAAGGCTGTGTTTTGAGCTCTCCATCCTAACGTGCCACTGATCTTTTAGTCATGACACAGGGGATAGGAGTGTGGCTGTAGTCAAAGAGTGAGAGGCTGGGCTCGGGGGTTGCTGCCAGCTTCCTTCCCAGCACTCTGCCTCGACCCTTCCCTGCCCCTCAGCGTCCCCCTGGAGCCTGTCTAATCAGATCCAGACCTGACCTTGCTGGAGGTCCTGGACCCGGAGGAAAGTCCTCCCTCCCCTCCCTGAGCCGCTCTAGATCTGGCTCTCAGGAGATTCCCCCCTCCCCTCAGGTGATTTATAGGGGGTGTCCAGGAGCTGTTTCCTGCTTATTCCTGCTCCCCTCCAGCCTAGTGGGTCGCTGGCCTCTCTCTGCCCATCTTTTCCCACCGCCCAGCTGTACCCATGGTGCGGGCAGGGAGGGACTAGGAGAGTTCCTCTGAGACAGCTTGGGGACAGAGGTGCTTTCTCCACCAAGTCCCCCAGCAGGCCTTTGTCCTCCCTGTCAGTGTCTGTGGCCCTCACCCTGGGAGGACCCCCCAACCACTGCCCATTACCCCTTCCCGTTACCGGCCTACAGCGAGGGACCCAAAACTGTCCCTCTATAACCAAAAGCATCAACAGTCGCAAGTTACAAGTACAGCAGCCTTGGACACAATACTACTGACATCGGCCACACACAGTGTCTCCTACAACAGTAAGCTGTGTATTCCATCACTAACCACACAGTGGCCTCCAGAATGACTTGTTCAGGGCTCCGCGTGCTCCGAGGTACAGTCCTCAGACCCATATGCCTGTGGTTGCCCAGAGAGCCATGATGAAGGGCATCTTCCCCCTGGATCTATGACCTGCTAGCATAAGCAGGGACAAAAACTATCTCCTACTTCCTAAAGAAAAAAATGTGGCCTGTGAACTAGGGGTGAGTGGAAGATTGTGGATGTGGACGAGGGCCTATTTTTTTTTAAATGTTTATTATTTTTGAGGGAGGGAGAGACAGAGCATGAGCAGGGGAGGGGCAGAGAAAGAGGGAGACACAGAATCTGAAGCAGGCTCTGTGCTGACAGCAGCCCAGAGACCGACGTGGGGCTTGAACTCACAAACTACGAGATCATGACCTGAGCTGAAGTTGGACGCCTAACCGACTGAGCCACCCAGGTGCCCCAACGAGAGCCTATTTTTGAAGGCAGTGGGAGTCAGAGCTGGAAGGGCCCCGAGGAGTACCTGTTCCCTCGACGGGTGAGCAGACTGGAGCTCTGACACTGTCTATAGGGGGTCTCAAGGCAACCCCCTTGGACATCTGAGGAATACATAGAGCTGACCAGACCAAAGGGCTGGGTAGGGGTGTGAGGGAAGGGGAGGCAAGAAGGAGCCTTAGGTAGGGGTGCCTGGGTGGCTCCCTCGGTTAAGAGTCTGACTCTTGATTTCAGCTTAGGTCATGATCTCATGGTTTGTGAGTCTGAGCTTCTGGTCGGGCTCTGAGCCTGCTTGAGATTTTTCTCTTCTTTTCTCTCTGCTCTCCACCTCCAAAAAAAAAAAAAAAAAAGCCTCTGGTAAAGAGGACCACCCCTTCCTATCGCACCCACCTACCCACCTTCCCCAGACCACGTCTGTGCAGCCAGCTGGGCTCTAAGGGATGGGACTGAGGAACCATCTGAGGCTCCCTACCACCCTTCCCTGCCAACTTGCAATGTAGTGCCAACTCTCAACCAGTGAGAAGAGGCTGGTCTGACTTGTAGTCCACTCTGGGCTTACCTGCCCTTGGAGAGTGAGAAAGTTGCTGGAGACCTGAGGGACGGAGGCAGAGGGCTCGGGCCTCAATGCCCCCTTCATAAACTGAAGGGTTTGGCTTTTAGATGTGTGGTTTTCAGGCGCTTTTAAAGGCAAAGCTCCCCTTCAAATGAGATGTTTGGCAGAATTGCAATTGAGCAAAGCTGACCGGTACAGCAAGGTGTTGCTCTGGTGGAAGTGAAATGTGGAGCCCTGGGCAGAAGGGGGGGCAGCTGTGTTCTTGGGGCCCCAGGGGACCCATAGGAGTCCTGTTGGCTGCTGTGTGAAGAGTATTGGGCTGGCTTCTTACCTATGACTGCTTCCTGCTTGAGCATTCCTCTCTGGCACACATTCAACCCATGCTGTTGTCCTTGTAAAGTTTTGAGGGGAGGAGGAGGGGGCAAGACGGTAGAGGCCAGACTTTCTCCATCTCTGGCGTCCCAAGAAGAAGCAGTCCTTCCCCTACACTTTCCTCAGGCCAGCTCCTGAGTCAGGACTCCTCTGGGGAGCCCAGGCTGGGGGCTAGAAACACAAAAGGATTTGGCTCCTTAATGAGGAGGCATCTGTAGTCAGCAGAGCCATTAGTCCCCGCCCCAGGTCCCTGGGGGACTGCAAGCTCTTCTCCAGCTGGAGTGAGGAGGGGGCAGGTAGCGCCCCAGCTCCTGAGTGGGCAGAGCCCAGGGCGCACAGACAGCAAACCCAGGAGCCTGGGTGCCCTCTCTACTCCCTAGACCTGCACCCAGCCCTGCCCTCCTGAGGCTGAGGTCTGCAGGGGGGAGAGGGGACCCAGCAGGCCTTGGCCCCCTACTACAAGCTCCTGGGCTGACCTGCCGGGTCCTTGGCCAAACAGAGCCTTTGGCCTGAGAGAGGGCAGGTTGACCCTCTGGGGATCCTCTCACGGAGCCTGATGGGGACACCAGCTGGGACATTTGCCCCCACCTCCTGCTCTGAGGGCCTCCGAGGTACCCTTTATAAGAGTTATACCTTGGCGGGGACACGTGTGATTATCTGCACGGTACCAGAATCACACAGTAGCCCCAGGAACTGAGAGCTACAAATCCCCATTCACATCCAGCCGTAGACACTCAGACCACATACATGGAGACAGCCACATCCGCCCAGAGAACACAGCTCTGCACACATGTGCAAGAAGCTGATCACACCCATCAGCTGCACTCCCAGGAGGCCCTGAGAGAGGAGGCAGGGCGGGGGATTTTTATGCATGTTTATATTTAATGAACCACATGCAAATGAGATGGAGACCGCGCCACAAAAGAGTCAGCCCCCAGAGACTCTGGGAAGGAGGGCACAAAGGCTGAGCCTTCTGGGGCTGCCCTGGAGTCCTGAAGAAGCCGGTGGATTGAGGGGGCCCGAGATGGGGTGTGCCCACCCACTCCAGGGAGCCAGGGGCAGGAGCCAGGACAAGCTCCAGCGCCCAACCTGCTGTGGGGGGAGGGCTCCTACTGGGAGGGGATGACTGTCCCAGTTGATGGAGTGCTGGAGGGGAGGGGCTGCCTGCCTGGACAGATGGTGAGCCGCCTTCCCGCACTTGAAGCAAAGTGGATTTTAATGAAATCGCAGCCCTGGTGCTGAAGCTGGGAACCCGCGTGGGAGGGGCACCTTCCCTGGGTTTACAGAGTGGGGTTGGGGATGGGTGGGAGTGAGGGTGGGTAGAGACACTTAGCTAGCCTAAAACGGGGTGTGGGGATGCACCACAGCCCCTCTGCCCTGGGCTCTGCAGACCAGAGTTCAGGCGGTTGAGATCTCCAAAAGGTGGGGAGGGGGGCCCCTGAATATTTATGATACATTGAAATGTAGATTGTAGGTCTGACAGTCTTCTGTGAAGCTTGTCACCTCGGATGGATATACCACTCTCTCGGGGTGCATCTAGAGGCTGCAGAAGAACTAGGGATGGGGGTGGTGAAGAAAGGCAGAAAAGGTTGCTGGGCGTTGTCATAAAACCAGGGTTTAATGACTGGTGTCTCTGCTGGGTGACACTGGACTAAGTGCTTCCCCTCTCTGGCCTCAGGTTCCCAGTCTGTAAACCATGCGGCATAATCCTCCAGCCTTGGCCACCTTAGAGTGGGTTTATAAAAATAAGTCTGGAAACAGCTGAAAAAGTGGGGAGTGGGACTTGGGAACAGGTCTTTCTCTGACCTGCCTTTCTGGATCGGCAGCCTGAGATCTCCTTGTTTGAGGTCTGTCGTCCAAGAATTTGTCCAGACCTTTCTCAGAGTATCCCAGCCCCATGCCGCCCCTAGGGGGCGATGCTTCCCACGGTGGGAGGCAGGGTAAGTGATGAGGTGTCCCTCATGCTGTTGCCCTGTGTCTCCAGCTCCAGGAAAGCTCCCTGGCCCTCGGCGGTGAGTTCCGGGCTCCAGGATATGGGACTGTGACCCTCCCCTCCCCCCAACACTCCTTCCCCTCGCACTTTGGCCAAATGCCTCTTCCATACACATATCCCTGTGTTTCCCCAGCCATGTCCGACTTCCACGTGCATCCCCAGGCCACCGTGGGAGAGGAGGGCGGTGTGGCCCGCTTCCAGTGCCAAATCCACGGGCTGCCCAAACCCCTCATCACGTGGGAGAAGAACAGAGTCCCCATCGACACGGACAATGAGAGGTAAGCCACGTGAGGGAAAGCTGGAGGGAAGAGGGGGAGGTGGGCCCGGTGTCTGGCCTCTGAGGGACCGCCTGCAGCCTCGGGGCTGGTGCTGCGTGGAGATTAAGTATTCGCATGGCTGGCAGGGCCCAGATTTGATGCTAGGTGAATTTATTTGTAAGGACTTTGTGTGATTGTGGTCTGGGCTGGAACTGTGGTGCGTCCACCTGCCAGAGTCCCAGCCTGTGTGTGTGTGTGACGATGATGGCGATGACCATGCTGATGTCAGGACAGCACCTGCGGGCTGGGCTGTGATGTCTCCGCATCCATGTGGCCAATGGTGCCAGTGGTTGTGCTAGTGGCTGACTGTGCCCTTGCCTCCAACAGGTACACACTGCTGCCCAAGGGAGTCCTGCAGATCACAGGACTTCGGGCTGAGGACAGTGGTGTCTTCCACTGTGTGGCCTCGAATGTTGCCAGTGTCCGGGTCAGCCACGGAGCCAGGCTCACCGTGTCAGGTGAGGCTCTTTTGCTCTGCCTCGTTCTGCCCCTAACCTCCTGCCTTCTCACTCTCCAATCAGTCCCTCTTCAACTCACCCCTGGAGACTTGTCAGCCAAGTGTATGTAGAGCACCTTCTAAACACAAAGCTCTGTGATCCCTGTGGTGAGGGTTCAGAAGGAATGAGGCCCGCTCTCTGGCTCGGCTCTACCCGGGGAAGCCCATCTTCTGCTTAGCCCGGGGCCTCTCTCATTGCCGGAGGGCCTGGCAAAGCTGCATGGGGAGGGGTGGATGTGTGCCATGCCCTGGGGCCTCTGGCATCTTCTCCCTGCCCACAGGACCTGGTGTCTGGCCTCGATCTTGCTCCCTGCTCCCCATGTCCTTCCTGGGTTGTGGGTGGGATGAGGTGGGAAGGGTCACAGCCGAAGTGAAGAAACATGGCATCTTCCTCCCAGGCTCAGGCTCCGGGGCCTACAAGGAGCCAATGATACTCGTGGGGCCTGAGAACCTCACCCTGACGGTGCACCAGACCGCGGTGCTCGAGTGTGTCGCCACGGGCAACCCGCGCCCCATTGTGTCCTGGAGCCGCCTGGGTGAGCCTCATCCTATAGTCCCAGCCTCTCCCATCCCTGTCCCACTCTCTGGGAGGCCGGTCTCTTCACCCAGCTGTGGGGGGGCGGGGGGGACTTTGAATCCTGTTTGCTCTCCATGGGGGTCTGTGCTCCCTGGGGCCTTACAGAGGGGGCTAAGCTTCCCTCTCCTTGGCAGGACTGGGGAGGGCGGCCTGCCCACAACATTCTCCCTCCCCCTGCGTGGATGGCTTAGCTCCCTGGGTTACCTCCTCCAGTCCCCAGCGGTCCTGCGCTGTTCCCGCCGCGGGGCTCCTCTCTCAGTGGCATCAGGCTCTCCAGAATCCCTCAGCTGCATTCTTTCCCCCAGGTTCTTTTCCCTCCTGTGTGTCCCTACCTTCTATTCCCTGGCAATACTCTCCAGACCCCTCCAAGTCTCAGCCAGTTGTCACACCCTGTCTCTGGGCCCCCCAGTCTCGAGCCTGGCCCCCTAAATCCCCAGCCTAAATCCCTAGGCAGCTGAAGGAGAGAAATGAAAGGGTGCAGATGGGCCCACATTGTCTGAGTGGAAAGGTCACCAGGGGAAGGAGAGTCTGGAGGGGATGGGGTGGGGTCGCATTCACAGGGAGACTGTGCCACATTGTAGCAGCTGAGTGATCGGGGAAGGAGGGGGCAGCAGGCAGGATAATGGAGTAGATTTCACCACTTCAGGGACTGAATGGGGAGCTGTCTCCTTGCATTCTGACTGTGCTAATCTGATCCTGGGGTGGGGTGGGGGGAGGGCCCAGTCCCTGGGAGAGGCTGGAAAGAGTGGCCTCACCATTAGCCCACAGGCACTGCAAGGACCATCTGGTCCAACATTTCCCAAAGTGTGATCTGCAGGGAGGAAATAACGGCTTGGTGGTCTAACATCTTACAAGTTTGGGAAACAGATTTAACCAGGTCCCTTTGCTGCAGGACTTCTCAGAGCCTTAATGTTAAAGGGCAGTGTGACAGTCCACAAGTGGAATGAAAACTTGAGCATGGAATTTTTTTTCAGGAGAGACAAACCAGGCTGGGAAACCACCCCTCTAATCCCACCCCCTACTGTCCTGAGAAGGGACTTGAGGGTCACCAGTGAATCAGTGAAAAGGCTAGAATTAGGGCAGGTCTCTGCTGCTAGGCAAAAGTTTTCAGTGCTGCTTTATTTCTTCCCCAATACCCTGATGCTTGGGAAGGTGCAGAGTCAGAAGATTGAGGTTCCTTAGGGCCACCTGGGTGCCTCAGTTGGTTAAGCATCTGACTTGGGCTCCAGTCATGATCTCACATTCATGAGTTCAAGCCTCATTTTGGACTCTGTGCCGTTAGCACAGAACCCGCTTAGGATCCTCTCTTCCCCCCACCGCCAACCTCCTCAAACATAAACTATAAACATTAAAAAGAAAAAACAGGGAGGTTCCCTAGAAGACTGGTGGAATGTCCAACAATCTGGACCATCCCTCCCTTCCCCCTCTTCCACACTTATCTCCGTGACCCTTCCTCACTCCCTTCTCCCCTTCGCCTCAGATGGCCGCCCCATTGGGGTGGAGGGCATCCAGGTGCTGGGCACCGGCAATCTTATCATCTCCGATGTGACTGTCCAGCACTCCGGCGTCTATGTCTGTGCAGCCAACAGGCCGGGCACCCGGGTGAGGAGAACAGCACAAGGCCGGCTGGTGGTGCAAGGTACGACCTCCCCGGCCCCACAGCCCTCTCCTCCTGCCCCATTCCTTCTCTCTTCATCAGCATCCCTGACCCACTCTCAGGGCCCTGTACTAACCTTAACCATGGCTCCTGCCCCTCCCCAGGCCTCCAGGCAGCTCTCCCCTCACATTCACAAGAATGGGAAGGCACTTTTGGTGATTGGCCCCCTGTGGGTCCCTCTAGGTGTCCTTGCCTTCCCTCCACCCCCCCATCTCCATTTTATAATCTCCACTGGCTCCCCCCTCCCACGTGTTGTTTTCATTCACACACGTGGCACCTGCATGCTCACACCTGCTTGCATGCTCTCAGGTGTTTGTCATTCTCACACTCACACCCCAGCTCCAGCCACATGCACACACACAGCTGGTCTCCACGCTCAGGGTGTGTGGGGAGGAGGTGGGTGTTAGTCTCTGGAGCTGATCAGGTCCTTCTGTCCATCCTCCTGTCCTGGGGCCCAACTGTCCCCATGCACTGGGCTGGGATCCCATTCTCAGGGGTTTTCTGTGGTGGGTCCCTCCTAGAGAGCTGGGAAAGGGGTGGGAGATAGGGGAATTAGGACCTTAAATGCCTGTTTGTTTAGCATTCCATGTGCCGTTAATCTGTCCAAATGAAAGTGATGGAGCATTTCATTTCTCGGGTGTTAATGGAAGCTGGAGGCCCGGGATTGGAGGAGGGCGGAATTGAATGTAGGGGTGAGGGGAGCGGTTACTGAGGGCTCATCCATCTCCCCCGTCATTACCGCCTTCGAGGTGCAGCCAAACCTATTAGCACATTTATTTATTTAACAATTTCCTGAACAGGGAGCTCAGCTTGATTGCTTTCGGATACAAATGTCAGTCTTTTAAATAGTCATTAAAATGGAGTCCTCTCCTGGGTCTGCCTCTTTGGGGCTAGTGAGGTGGGGCTTGCCATCATCTTCTGGAGCCTGGGCCAGGGTGAAGGGTGGGCCCCACCTGGAAGCTTCCCCAAGGGGGTGAACGTGTGCTTCCCAAGCCCACCCTGTCCCTATCCCGTCACCCCCCCATTCACTCACAGCTGTCTCTGTCCCCCCATCCCAGCCCCAGCCGAGTTTGTCCAGCACCCCCAGTCCATCTCCAGGCCAGCTGGAACCACAGCCATGTTCACCTGCCAAGCCCAGGGTGAGCCGCCCCCTCATGTCACATGGTTGAAGAATGGACAGGTGCTGGGGCCAGGAGGCCACGTCAGGCTCAAGAATAACAACAGGCATGTGTGTGGCGTGTGTCAGGGTGAGAACGGGGGAGGCTGTGGGAAAGGGGGGCTGGCCTGAGCAGGCTGTGCCCCTTGTGCCAGGAAAGAGCACTAAATTAGATCTGGAGCCTTGGGTTTGAGTCCTGGTCTGCCACTGGCTTGCTGCAGGATCTCAGACAATTCCTTTGTCTTCTGGAGAGGCTCAGTTCCTCCATCTCTCCAAGGGGGTAATTTGGCCAACTTTCAGGGATACTCTGGGAGGAGGAGGGGGTCTGAGGCTCTCCCTCCCCCTGCAGCACCCTGACAATTTCTGGAATCGGCCCTGAGGATGAGGCCATCTACCAGTGCGTGGCCGAGAACAGTGCTGGCTCCTCTCAGGCCAGTGCCAGGCTGACCGTGTTATGGGCTGAGGGGCTGCCCGGGCCCCCCCTCAATGTGCAGGCCGTCTCTGTGTCGTCCACTGAGGTCCGCGTGTCCTGGAATGAGCCCCTGGTCAACACCAAGGAGATTATCGGCTATGTCTTGCACATCAGGAAGGCTGCTGGTGGGTGAGGGCTCTGCAGCCCCTCCTTTTCATTCACTGTTTTTCATCCCTTTCAATCCTGCATGTCAGTCCCAACACCTTCCCTCCACTGTCCCCCCTGCACACTGGATGCCCCCATGTCACCAGTGCTGGTAGGACTGCCTCGTGCCCCTTACATTGCCCCGCCCTACCCTTCACCTCCCCAGACCCTCCAGAGCTGGAGTACCAGGAGGCAGTCAGCAAGAACACCTTTCAGCACCTGGTGAGCGACCTTGAACCCTCCACTGCCTACAGCTTCTACATCAAGGCCTACACGCCGAGGGGGGCCAGCTCAGCCTCTGCCCCCGTGCTGGCCAGCACCCCGGGTGAAGGTGAGGTCCGGCTAGGGAGCACACCACAAGTCTGGGTATTAGAGCAAAACACCACGCATGCTTGTTCATACTGCACACTACACCAGGCGCCTGGCCCTGAGGCTGAGTGGGGGCTGGGTCCACTTGGAGAAGGGGGCATCCTTTTCCCACTCACATAAAGGTAGGTGTCTTTGAGCAAGTCAAGGCCCTGGGTCAGAGAGCTTCCAGGCTCCTGGGGGTATGGGTCACAGGTGGAAGGTGGCAACCCCCGCCCCTCACATCTTGGCCTCCTCTGCCCCCAGCACCCGCCCCACCCCCGTTGTCGGTGCGGGTCCTGGGCAGCTCCTCGCTGCAGCTGCTATGGGAGCCCTGGCCCCGGCTGGCCCAGCATGAGGGAGGCTTCAAGCTGTTTTACCGCCCAACAAGCAGGGCCTCCTTCACCGGCCCTGTCCTGCTGCCCGCAACGGTCTCCTCCTACAACCTCAGCCAGCTCGGTGAGGCAGACACCACGTGGGGAGCTGGGCAGGGGTGCGGTGCCTGGTGCCGGGAGGTGGGGCGCAGGGTCCCCTCTATTTCCCTGCTGTGACAGAGCTGCCAGTGGGGGCTGGGGAGGTCACTCAGCACAGCACTGCCTTTCCCTCAGACCCCACTGCGGTGTACGAGGTGAAGCTACTGGCCTACAACCAGCATGGGGAGGGCAATGCCACAGTCCGCTTTGTGTCTTTGAGAGGAGCATCTGAGAGGACAGGTACATGTTGGGGATGGGTTGTGGGGCTACAGACAGGTGCTCAGGAAGGGAGGCCAGGTGTTAAGGGAGGAGGGGAGCCAGGGATACAGGGAAGGTAGGCTTGAATAGGAGTTTGAAGTTCCATGGTGTGACTAGCTGTCACACTAGCTGTGTGACCTTGGGCAAGTTACTTAACCTCTCTGAGCCCCAGTTTTGTTCTCTATAAAACAAGGATAGTAATACCTACTTTATGCAGCCGTGGTGAGGTTGAGTACTACTAACTGGCACCAAGTTAGTGGTACTCAGTAACTAGTAAAGAGAACCCCAAAAGTAGGCTGGGGTCTTTGCAAAGGCAAAGACTATGTAGACAGCGAGGTATGTATGGCTGAGGGAAGAGGAGGCCCACAGGGGAGGTGTCCCAGGTGATTCAGGCCTGGAGAGCCACAGCTCCCAACCGTCACCTGCCCGTAGCCCTGAGCCCACCGTGTGACTGCCGGAAGGAGGAACCCGGCAACCAAACGTCCACCACGGGCATCGTCATTGGCATCCACATCGGGGTCACCTGCATCATCTTCTGTGTCCTCTTCCTCCTGTTCGGCCAAAGGGGCAGGTGGGTCCTGGGCAGGAGGGGTGGGGACGGCCTGGAGAAGGCGCTGTTATACTGGAAAGAAGCGTTGGGGGCTCACTGTGTCCATCCTTGTTTTTGCCCCCCGCCTCAGGGTCCTCTTGTGTAAGGATGTAGAAAACCAGCTCTCCCCTCCTCAGGGCCCCCGGAGCCCAAGGGATCCTGGCCTCCTGGCACTGAATGGGGCGGGACGGGCAGAGCGGGGCCAGCTGGGCCGAGATAAGAAGCGTGTGGACGTGAAAGAACTGGAGCAGCTGTTCCCCCCAGGTGGGGCAGGGGGGCGGCAGGACCCCAGACCCATGGTGAGTGCCCCCCCCCCCCCCGGAGCAAGCATCCTGCTTCAGGCTCTGACAGCTTCCCAGTCCTGCCCTCCCTTCACCTCAGTCATCAGCCTGCACTAAGCTCCAGGCATAAAACTTATGGCACCGGCATCAGGCAGGGTTGGCCTGGAGACCCTAAGTCCCAAGTGGGATTGGGTCCAGGGCCTGACCCTGTGGCTGGGGACTCGTGGGCTCTGGCCCTCATGCTGACATCAGTGTGACTTGCCCTTTCCCCAGCAGGATCCTGGGGACCCTGCCCTGTGCGAGGAGACCCAGTTCTCCATGCTGCCACTTGAGGGATTCAGCCTTCTGGAGGAGCTGACGTCAGAAGCCAAGGCACCGTGCGCAGGCCCCGCAGCTGCCCTGCCACCCCGGGACCGAGGCCCAGGCCTCCTCAGTGAAGGACCGGCTACTCGGGCCTCCACAGCACCAGCTGCCCAGCCAGCTTGCTCAGGCCAGTAGCCAGTGTCTGGCAGGCTCCACAGGGGGCAACTCCCCATTCTCAGGTCAAAGGCAAGATTTCTCCTGTCATGTGGGACTCGGACAGGGGCTTCCCAGCATTTCTGTCCTGACTACCCCTCAGGTTGTCAAGACCTAAGTAGCCTCAGCAGGGGACCCCGCCCCCCCAGAACCTGGAGGGGTTCCTTCGGGAGCCCCTCACCTCTGCCTGGAACCCACATGACTTGGAACTGAACTAATGTTTTCCTTTAAAAAAAAAGAGGAAGGCAAATTAGACTCCAAAAATACGCCCCTGCTGTGGCTGGGACCCTGATGCTGTCACCCTCCACTGACCTTGTTTTCTCAGGATGGATTTTTGCTGTTTGGCTCTCAGTACCTACCTCAGCCGGAATGAATGTTCTTGGGGGAGTTGGGCCATGGCCTCAGCCCCTGTCCCCAAACAGAGCCCCAAATGCACTCCTACCTCAAGCCCCTGTAGGGGCACCCCCTTTCCCTCCCCATATTGTTGTCAAGAGTTTAAAAAAAAAAAAAAAAAAGCACTTCCCCATTTCCAGGTGTGAAAGAAAACATCTACCTCAAGGCTCGCTGGCTGTCCGGGCCTGTGTTGTATCACTGGACCCTCCTCCTGCGAGGAGGCCAGAGGCTAAGTCACCAAGGGCGGGCCTCTCAGGAACTACAGAGATAAAGATGGAATTGGTCAAAGAAAATGTGAAAAAAAGCCAAAAATGAGAGGAAAATACGTTCCTTGAAGTATAAATCGCTCCAAACCAGCCATCTCCCAGCACGCTGCCGCTGCTCCACCTTGTCTGTCTGTCCACTCCAGTTCTGACCCCCTCAGCCCACTGATCCTGGGATCCCGACGATCCTCTCTCTGCCTGGGCCTGAGGAGCTGCTGGTGTCACCCTGCGGCCGGCCTCCTGTCCTGCCCAGAGCCACGGAGCCCCTGGAGCATACTGGGCGTGACGGGTGTGTGCGCGCGTGTCAGACAGGGAGAGTTCCCCGGCACGGGTGCCCAGCACTCTAGCCCCTGGGACACAGCCTGTTTGACCTAACCCCTGGACAGTGGAACCACCACTGTCAGCAGATATGGCTGGAAGATATTTTTATACAAGGTGTGTTTAAAGATTTATGTTCTTGTGGCTTCTTGTTCTTCCTGTTGTGTTGTTTTCAATATACTTAAAGGTAGAAAAAAAAAACCCTAGGAAAAAAAAAAAACCCAAGGAAACAAATACCTATTTTTGGTTAATTCATTTTTTTAAATAGAAAGCTTTTTTTTTTAAAGGAAAAAAAAAAAAAGATAAGTGTATTCCTTAAGTATGAGATTAGAACATAAAGTCCCTGACCCTCACCCCTAAAGTTTAGTTAACTAGCTGAAGAAGGTAGAATTTGTGGTGTTTTCCTAGAAGACTGAGTCATGTTCGTGTCGACTCGGGAACGGGCAGCCTGCCCCTTCTCCCAAATGCTGGGCCTGTGCCGAAGGCCCCTCAACACTCCCACTCTGTCTCTGCATTGACCTCCCTGCAGCCCCTTCATCCCACAACCCCCTCCCCCAAGGGAAGAGCGGTCTGGGGTAGGATGGGGAGCCCGCAGGCCTGATGTGACCTGACTTTTGTCACACACTCATTCTGACTGAATAAAAGTCCTGTTGCCAAAGTGAACCTCGAGTTTGGTGGTGGCTGTGTCAGGTCCTGGGGAGGGCAGGGATTAGGGTAGCCAAGGGTGGGCCAGGCCGACCCTCCCAAGTCAAAGTGCAGGATAACAGCGGCCCCCTGTGTACCACTTACTGGGCCCTCTCCACGTGTAGGAAGCCTCCCTGGGTCCTTGAGACCTTCCTGGGCGGTAGATAGTCTAGTTACCGTCCCCTCATCCTACAGATGATGAAGTGGAGAAAGGGTAAGAGAAATGAAGGAAATGTCTAAAATCTCAGGCAGCTAGCTACGGCGGGATCAGTTTGAATCCAGACCAGGCCACCTGGTTCCACAGTCTGTATTCTGACCACTGCTCTGTAGCTCCTCAGCCCTTTGGCTCTGTAATGACAGCTCACCGGTACTGAGCCAGGTGCTTTTCATGCACAGTCTACTGGGAAGGACATTTTCGTTTCCACTCCAAAGATGAGGAACAGCATCTGGCTGAGTGACTCTTTCCGGGGCACACAGCCAGAACTCCTGGCCAGCCCTTTCCATTACTCCCTGTCCGCTCCTCAGTCCAGGCTCCTGAAGCCAGATGTCCAGAGCTGCCCAGGCTTGGGATAGGCCAAGAGAGATTTGGCTTAAAGGTGGTTGTGCTGACAAAAATCTGGAGGTCTCAGAGGACCTGAAGCTTAGTAAAAGGCAATGGTACAACTGCTTAGAATGTCAGTGTTGCCTCTACTACAGAAATGGAGAGTCAAGACCCCCTGGGAAGCTCTGCAGGTCTCAAGGGCTGGGCTCTGTATCCAGAGGCACCCTTTGGGAGGAGCAAACCAGGATAGTGGTTTGCAAGCTAAGCTTCTCCAGCTGTGGCTATGGGTCTGGGGGTGAACCTCTTTGGGGGGGGGGGGAGGATTCCATTCTCCCTGCCTACACTCACCCAGAGCAGCTCCACTTTTATCTGTCTTACATGTTGGGCTTTTCATGAGGCCCTTCTGGGCCACAGTCAGGCCAGAAATGGTGATGGTGTTGGTGGATGCTAAACCGAGAAAGAGAAGCCTCAGGCGGCCATAGCACCTGTTCTGAGTCTCCAGGGGGAAGTGACTGCTCTGCCCTGATTTTCCCAGAGAGAAGAGCTAAGCCCTCTTCTGTATTTACAGACATAATACCTCACCTTTCTTTACAGAGAACTTTGCACCACAGGATTCTTCACCACCACCAGCCATCCAACGGCTGCCTGGGAAGATGGTGGGTTTTGTCGTCTGTTCAAGCAGATCCTCCAGGGGAGGAGAGTAGACCTGGTGAACCTCCAGTGTCCCTGTCCCTCCCAAAAGTCCAAGATGCCAGTACCTTCCCCGGGGAGGCATCCGGGAACATTTAGAAATCACCTCATACGACCCATGTAGATGTATGCAAATTACATACAAATTATATTCAAATGTAGGCAGGGCCTGTTCTAACAAGGCGAAACCAGGCTAAGGTAAAGGAAGCAGAGTTCCAATTAGGAAGATTCACGAGACTAGGTGTCAAAGCCAGAAAGGCCTGGCTGGAACCTGGGTCTTAATCTCAAATAGTCCCATAGCCTCAGGCTGAAGACACTATGCACGCACATGCAGGCACACACACATACACACCCACCCACCCACCCACTCTATCTTTGGGCAGAAAACAGCAGCAGCTAGGGCTTGCAACCTGCTCCAATTGTCTAATGCTCTGGAACAAGCCAATACACAATTTAGTGGCTTAATCTAACATTTATTTTGTTTATACCTTAGCAGTCTGGGCAGGGCTCAATGGGGACAGTTGTCTTTTTTACCAGGCATCAGCCAGCAGCGGCAGCTTGAAGCCTGGGGCTGGAATCATCCGAAGGCCCGCTGGCTCTCATTCTAGTGGTGATGCTGGCTGTCGGCCCCAACATCCTCCTGTGGCCTCTCCATGTGGCCTGGGCTTCCTCACAGCATGGTGGCTGGGATCCAAGGACAAGGGACTAGAGAGAGCCAGGCAGAAACTGCATCATCGTTTTGAATCTAGCCCTGGATGTCATGTGGTGTCACTTCTGCCGTGTTCTATTCATTAGAAGCAAGTCACTAAGCCGGCCATGTTCCGGGGGAGGGGACTTAGGGAGTAGAGCCAAAGTTGTGGACAAGTTTTAAAACTATCACAGGACCACTCTGGGGGACAGGTAGAGAGCAAGTGTGAGCTGGGAGAGACTGGGCGAGCAGGAAAGCTCCCCCGCAGAGAACATGGCAAGAAGGGGATGCTGCTGGGGCTGCTCCCAAGCCCTGTTTATGGGCCGCATCCTGATTATTAGTGAAGATAGACCGTGGTGTCTCCAGTCCTGAGGCCAAGGGAGGGGGGCACCAGGCCCATGTGAATGCCTGGAAAGGCGCTTCTCCACTACTTGTTCTCTCCCCTCAGGCAGTAAGTGGGGTGGCTGGTTCAAGACAGACAGCCCCAGCAGCCTGGGATGCCTGGCCCCAGAAAGACACCGCCGCAAGGGACCACTGACTCTCTCATGAGACAGTTCATGTCACCCTGTGCCATGTGCCCCCTGCCACAGTGCAGGGGCTGGCCCTGGCCATCACTCCAAAACATCCACAGCCTGGGACTCCTTCTCCCATGAATGCCAATAGCGTCCTGTGCTGCTTAAGTCCTTGCACTTATTTCCTTGCCTCACAGTCTGACTCCCTACTACATGAATTTGTGGCCTCAGGGCCCACTTAGTAACTGCTGAATGAAGGTATGCATGAACGGGATGTCTAACTGGAATTCTGGGGGCATCGTCACAAAGCTACAAAGAAAAAACTCTTTGGTCCAATCTCTGGCTAGCACGGTATCATCTTGGGTTAAGCAACAGGGGAGTTTAACACCTGGAAGCTTGGGATCATCCCTCCTGTACTAAGCTCCCAGTTACTGGGCTGAGGGGAGGGAAGGAAGAAATGGAGCCCCAGGAGAAGTGGTTTCTCTTCCATGCCTTGCTCAGGTGTCACCTTAGAGAGAAGCTTCTTTACCTGGAGTTTAACTGGTAGCTCAGTGACCACACACCCTCAGATTTTAGCTACCTGGGAGCTAGACCAGAGCTCACACTCTGTTGCTGAGAATAATCAGCTCTATCTCCTGGTCAGAAGCATGGTATCTTCTGGAGCCGAGGTGGTGCTCTGGCCCAGCTAGAGTCTGGCCAATGTGGTCTGAACCCTGGGCTCAGCCATTTCCTAGTCGTGCAACCACAAGCAGATGACTTAACTTCTCTAGGCCTCAGTTTTCTCATCTGTAAAATAGGGATAATATGCTCCTACCTCAAAGGGTTGTTGACTTAGTTGGCTTCTTTACAGAAACTGATCAGCTAAGCCTAAATTCATATGACCTTGAATAGCAAAACAATCTTGGGAACAAAGAACAAAGTTGGAAGACTCACACTTCCTGATTTCAAAACTACTACAAAGCTACAGCAATGAAGACAGTGGATACTGACATACGGACAGACATACAGATCAATGGGTTAGATTGTGAGCCCAGAAACAAACCCTCATATAGTCAATTGATTTTCCACAAGGATGTCAATACAGTTCTTGGGGGAAGAAGAGACTTTTCAACAAATGGACAAGTGGATATTCACATGCAATAGAATGATTTTGGACCCCTTCCTCACACCATTAAAAAAAACCACAATTAAAAATGGAGCAAAAACCTAAACGTAAAAGCTAAAACACAGAAGAAAACACAGGTGTACATATTTGTAATCATGCCAAAGGTACAATCAACAAAAGCAAAAACATAAAGTGAACACCATCAAAATAAAAAATGTTTGTGTTTCAAATGAAACCACCAAGAAAATGCTAAGACAAGCACAAAATGGGAGAAAATATTTGCAAGTCCTATCTCTGAGAAGGGATTTGTATCTAGAATATATAAAGAACTCGTAACTCAGTAATAACTCAATGATAGAAAGACAAGTAACCCAATTTAAAAACACGCAAAGGTGGGGTGCCTAGCTAGCTCAGTGAGAAGTGCACACGACTCTTGATCTCGAGGTTATGAGTTCAAGCCCCACTGGGTGTAAAGATTACTTAAAATCTTAAAAAAAGATAATGAATGAATGAATGAATAAAATGGGCAAAGGATCTGGATAAGCATATCTGCAAAGAAGATATACAAATGGCCAATAAGCACATTGATGAAATAAACAGTAAAACCACAATGGGATACCACTTTGTTCGTACTAGTATAGCTAGAATAAAAAAGTCATAGTCTTGTCGAGGATGTGGAGAAATCAGAACTCTCATTCACTGCCAGGGGAATGTGAAATGGTGCAGCTGTTGTGAAAAGCAGCCTGTTTCTCAAAAGGCTGAAAGAACACAGAGTTACTAGATGACCCAGAAGTTCCATTCCTAAGTATATATTCCAGAAAAATGAAAACACACAAGTTTACACAAAAACTTGTACATCAATGTTCACAGCTACAAGAACTATGATGGGGCGCCTGGGTGGCTGTCAGTTGAGCATCCAACTCTTGGTTTCAGCTCGGGTCATGTTCCCAAGGACGTCGGGTTGAGCCCCATATCGGTCTCCGTGCTGAGCATGGAGCCTGCTTAAGACTCTTTCCTGCTGCCACTCTCCCCTCCTTGCTCTTTCTGTCTCTCAAAAAAAAAAAAAAAAAAATCTGTGATAAAATGTGGAAATAACTTAAATGTCTACCAGCTGATGAATGAATAAACAAAATGTGGCATAGCGATATAATAGGATATTATTTAGCAGTAAAATGGATGAACCTTGAAAACATTATGCTAAGTGAAAGAAGCCAGTCACAAAGGACCATACATTGTGTATGATTCAGCTTGTATGAAATGTCCAGAGTAGGCAAATCTATAGAGACAGAGAACATATAAGCTGGGGATTAGGGGAAAATGGAGAATGACTGCTAACGGGCACAGAGTTTCTTTTTGGGCTGATGAAAATGTTTTAGAATTGATTATGGTAATGGCTGCACAACCCTGTGAATATATTAAGAACTACCAAGTTGCCCATGTAAT